ATATGGAGGTCAGTTGTAATACCAAGAGATCTCCAGGCCCCACCTGGAACTGTACTGGTCCCCCCAGTCCAGCTATGCACAGTGGGTAGCCCACTGCTAGCCATATATTATGGCTTGACAATTGTTTGACAGACTCCCCATTTTGCAGCCCTGGCCAGGCAATAAGAATGTGTTTTCCAAGCCCCGAGTAGCCTACCATACATCACTGCTAGGATTTATGGAGTCTGGCAATTCAAACGTTGCGCAAGCCCATTCCCTTGCACTGGCAAGGTTTCCTTGTGAGGAATTATTGTTCAAGGATGTGAGTCCCTTTGTCTCATTTAAAAATCCCTAGCTTCTGTGCATGCGGAATGATTGAAGCGTGGGCTGTGGTGGATGTTAACAATTCCGAGCAGGATTGTCAGGGCTCCTTCCTACACCACTCTGCTGTTGGGGTCAAGAAGAGCAGATAAGGTGATACACCCAGGGGTTTTTTTTGTAGAAAAAGCCCAGCAGAAACTCATTAGCATATTAGGCCACACCCCTGACAGTAAAGCACATTAGCATATTAGGCCACAACCCCATGTTACCAGAAGTGTGGTCATCCAGCCACACCCACCTTTTGCTCCTTATTGTTTACCTTGTTTGTTGTCAAAACCAGGGCTTTTTTTGTAGCGGGAACTCCTTTGCATGTTAGGCCACACACCCCTAATGTAGCCAATCCTAATGAGTTTCTGCTGTTGGGTGTGGCCTATTATGCTAATATGTTCCTGCTGGGTGTGGCCAACTCAGGAGCCAGCCGGAACTCCGTTCCTGTGCGTTCCTGTCCCTGGATATACCTCTGTCTCAATATCACTTCAGACTGCATATAAGGGATCACATAACAGAATGAGGGGTCATATATTCCTGTGCCCTAGCCTGGATAAGCGAGGCTAACCCCATCTTGTCAGATTCTCAGAAGTTAAGCAGGGTCAGCCCTGGCTCGTATTGCGATGGGAGACCTCCAAGGAATACCAGGGTTGTGATGCAAAGGTAGGCAACGGCAAACCTCTGGAACGCCTCTTGCCTTGGAAACCCTATGGAGTCACCATAACTCAGCTGTGACTTGACAACACTTTCCATCACCAATATATTCCTGTACACAGAAAACTATTGTGACAAGGCTATGTTCAAATCTTTTCCCTTGACATGCTATTTTTCTGCATGAAGGGGTATTCTGTTTAGTCTGAAGTGACGAAGTTCAGGCACAACAGGTTCACCACCTCGTCTGTTCTTTGCGAGAATGAGGCCTCTGGTAATCGTTGAATCCATGAGCTCATGCAGTAGGAACTGACAATTCAGTTGCTTCCCACGCTGGCATCCCTGGGAACGTGGTGGATTCAATTATTACAAAGAAACAGGTACATGAAGTATCCAGACAGAGGAAGGATATTAAGAAAAAAGAGAAAGTAGAATAAATAGGGATGGGGTTTATTCAAAAAGCCTCCAGTGCATTTTGAGCGATCGCTCTTC